TCGGTGACCATGTACTTGGTGTGGCTGACGCGGGCGAAGGGGATGCGGCTCTGCGCCGCGCTGGCCGGCACCAGGAACAGCCGCTGCGCGCCGGGACGGCACCGACACCAGGGTTGGCACCGACACCGACACCGGGGTTGGCACCGGCACTGACACCGGGGACCGGCACCGACCCCGGGATTGGCACCGTCACCACCCCCAGGGATTGTCACCGACCCCCCGGGATTGGCACCGACACCGACACCGGGGTTGGCACCGACCCCGGGATTGGCACCGACACCGACACCGGGGACCGGCACCGACACCGGGGATTGGCACCGACCCCGGGACTGGCACCGACCCCGGGATTGGCACCAACACCACCCCAGGGACTGTCACCGTCACCACCCCCAGGGATTGTCACTGACCCCAGGATTGTCACCGACCCCCCGGGATTGTCACTGACCTCCCTGGATTGTCACCGACCCCCAGGATTGGCACCAACCCCCAGGGATTGTCACCGACCCCCAGGGCTTGTCACCGACCCCCAGGGATTGGCACCGACCCCGGGGTTGGCACCGGCACCGACACCGGGGACGGCACTGACCCCGGGATTGTCACCGACCCCCCCAGGGACCGGCACCGACCCCGGGATTGGCACTGTCACCACCCTCAGGGATTGTCACTGACCCCAGGATTGTCACCGACCCCCCGGGATTGTCACCGACCCCAGGATTGTCACCGACACCTTGGGATTGTCACTGACCCCAGGATTCGCACCGTCACCACCCCCAGGGATTGTCACCGACCCCAGGATTGTCACCAACCCCCCGGGATTGTCACCGACCCCCGGGATTGTCACTGACCCCCGGGATTGTCACCGACCCCGGGGTTGGCACCGACACCGACACCGGGGATTGTCACCGACCCCCGGGATTGCCACTGACCCCCCGGGATTGTCACCAACACCCCGGGATTGTCACCAACCCTGGGACTGTCACCAACCCTGGGACTGTCACCAACCCTGGGACTGTCACCGACCCTGGGACTGTCACCTCCCCACCAGGGACTGTCACCACCCCCTGAGGGGATTGTCACTACCTGAAGGGGACTGTCACCAACCCCTTGATGCCACTGTCACCCCCCTGCCACCCTGATGTCACCACCACCCCTGATGTCACCGCCACCCCCGATGTCACCATCACCTCCCAATGTCACCGCCACCCCCTGATGTCACCACCAGCCCCCAATGTCACCACCACCCCTGATGTCACCATCACCCCCCTTATGTCACTGTCACCCCCCTTATGTCACCGTCACCCCTGATGTCACCGTCACCCCCCAATGTCACCATCACCCCCTGATGTCCCTGCCACCCCCAATGTCACCGTCACCCCCGATATCCTGTCACCCCTGACATCACCACCACCCCTGATGTCACCACCACCCCCTGATGTCACCGCCATCCCCGATGTCACCATCACCTCCCAATGTCACCACCACCCCCTGATGTCACCACCAGCCCCCAATGTCACCACCACCCCTGACATCACCATCACCCCCTGACGTCACCGCCACCCCCCAATGTCACCGTCACCCCCAATATCCCTGTCACCCCTGACGTCACCATCACCCCCTGACGTCACCATCACCCCCCAATGTCACCGTCACCCCCGACATCCCCGTCACCCCCAATATCCCTGTCACCCCTGACGTCACCATCACCCCCTGACGTCCCCGTCA